AAGCCCTGCGTTGGGCTTGTGCTGACGGCTCAGAGCCTGGAGCCTGCTTCGGATTCTCTGTCTCCCTCTTTCTCTCTGCCCCTCCCCAGCTTGCGCATGCTCTCTCTCTCTCTCAAAAATAAAGAAATAAACATTAAATAAGATAATTAAATAAATAAGGTAGAGATAAAGTGAAAAGTAAGCCTTTTCCCCACCCCCATTCCCCACCCCACCACCCCAGAACCTCAAAGGTAGCCACTGTCGGTCTCTGCTGCCTCCCTGTAGAGAAGCATACACACCCATATAATTCCATTGTGTATCTAGGTGAAGTCAACATAAGTCAGCACACAAGCATATCTTGCTGCTCCTTTTTTTTACTCCATAATATCATTTTTCCCAAACAGCACATAGAGATCTACCTCATTCTTTTTTTTCTTTTTTTTTTAAGTAATCTCTACACTCAATGTGGGGCTTGAACTCAACGACCCTGAGATCAAGAGTCCCATGCTTTACCAACAGAGCCAGCCAGCCAGGCACCCCTACCTCATTCTTTTATCAGCTTCGCAGTATTGCACTATATGGCTATTCTACAGTTCGGTTTTTTTTTCATCTTTATTTATTTTTGAGAGAGAGACAGAGTGTGAGCAGGGGAGGAGCAGAGAGATAGGGAGACACAGAATCTGAAGCAGGCTCCAGGCTCCGAGCCGTCAGCACAGAGCCCGACGCGGGGCTCGAACTCACAGACTTCGAGATCATGACCTGAGCCGAAGTCGGACGCTCAACTGACTGAGCCACCCAGGCGCCCCTACAGTTTATTTAAGCAGTCCCAATTGCTGGATTATTTGAGCTTACAAATGCTGCGATGAACATCCTTGTACACATATCTTGGTGAACTTGTGCACTAAAGCCATAGAACTGCTGAGACAAAGGAATTTGCATTTGTAACTTCAGTAGATATTGTCAGCTGCTCTTCCAAATACCCCAACGTATGTTCCCACCAATGGTGTAAGTACGAGTGTTTGTTTCCCCAACTCTCAGCCAATGTTGACCTTTTACCAAAGCATTATATGTTATATTGACTCAGAGAAACATACCAGGATGCAATATACTGAGAGATGTTTAGTTCAAGGAATTGGCTTTCGTGACTTTGGGGGGCTGGCCTGTCCAAAATCTGTAGGGTAGACTGGCAGGCTGAAAATTCTCAGGGAGAAGCTGATGCTACAATTTTGAACAGAATTTCTTCTTCCTCGGGGAAACCTCAGTTTTGATCTAAGTTCTTTCAGTTAACTGGATGAGGCCCATCCAGATTATTGAAGATTTACAAGTCAACCGATTGTATATCTGTAATATATAATCTGTGCATCTATAACATACCTTCACAGCAACATAGAGATTCGTGTTTAATTGAATAACTACATGCTATAGCCTGGCCAGGTTGACACATTTACACACATTTACACACACACACACACACACACACACACACACACACACAAAATCTATGTACTCATATTCTTTGTTCACTTTCCTACTGAGATTTCCTTTTGAGAGCTCTTTACACTACTACGTGTATTAACCCTTTGTCACACATCTTGCTAATGTTTCCTCTCCATCATTTCTCATTTCATTTTGGTATCTTCAGTCAACCAGGACATTTTTATGTCTGTACAGTCAGATCTATCTATCTTTTTCTTTATGGCATCTGAATTCCCTGTCTGATTAAGAAGGTGGCTCAGAGTCAGTTAGGAGCCATGGTAACCACCCCATTCACCTAGGTTTTCTAAGTGTTCCCCTTGAGTCAGGAAGTCACAGGAAAGCAGAGCACTTAGGCAACATTTGCCCAGCTCCCACTGAGAAGTGTCTGCTGAAGTTCGATTTAATGTCAGGCCCTGGCTTTTAGCAAGAGTCAATAGAGGGTTACTTGGGTGGCTCAGTCGGTTGAGCGCCTGACTTCGGCTCAGGTCATGATCTCACAGTTCGTGAGTTCGAGCCCTGTGTCGGGTTCTGTGCTGACAGCTCAGAGCCTGGAGCCTGCTTCGGATTCCGCGTCTTCCTCTCTCTCTGCCCCTTCCCTGCTCATGCTCTGTCTCTCTCTGTGTCTCAAAAATGAATAAACATTAAAAAAATTTTTTTATAAAAAAAAAAAAAGAGTCAATAGAAAAGCTATAGGAAAAGCTTCACCTTCTCTGCAAAATCCCAACTCTTCCATTTTGTCACTAGAGGCCCCTCATATAAGAATCCACATAAGAGATTCTTCTCCACATCACATGCCGGCAGAAAATACTCACTCATTGAGAAGACTCAGGCAATAAGTACTACATACCCCATCTGGCTTCCCATTTTGTCGTGGATGCCAGGAAATCTAAAAGCAAATGTAACGCTCAGATATTGGAACAAGCCAGGTCACTCTGGGGCGGAAGATTGCTTCAGGCGGTATCATTACCTGGCCTCTGGTGTAGGCGGGTTTTGAATTCCTCAAATTCCTTTTGGAATGGATGGAGCCAAATACAAACATAAACCAACTGACTTAAGACAGAACGGAAACACTTGTCTGAATAGTGGCAGAGTTGGCACAGAGGTCTCTGTTTGAACCACAATTAATTAACATTTTCACAAATGCTTCAGAGGAGGGAAGGTGCAATGGAAATTCTGGATCCAAAGTTGACATTCAGCTTCTCCAAGCAGTGAGATTTGGGGCCAACCTGGAGAAACTTCAGGAAAATCCTGGCAGCTGTTGAGTGAAGAGAATAACTCCATAGTGTATCTAAGGTAATGGATTTAGGCAGCCTCATCCATAACGTTTAGAATACAAATGGACACCCATAGACCACATGTCTCAATATTTTATTATTCTAAATGCAAGCTTAAAATGATTAAATCAAGAGGCACCTTGGTGGCTCATTCAGTTAAGCGTCTGACTTCAGCTCAGGTCATGATCTCACGATTTGTGGGTTCAAGTCCCGCCCCGGGCTTTGTGCTGACATCTCAGAGCCTGGAGCCTGCTTCAGATTTTGTGTCTCCCTCTCTCTCTGCTCCTCCCCAGCTCATGCTCTCTCTCTCTCTCAAAAATAAATAAACATTAAAATTTTTTTTTAAATTTGATCAAATCAAGTGTATCCTATCTTCTTACTTCCTACCTTGACACATATATCTTCCTCCCAACCAAGAAGCCAGGTTTGAACATAGGATTCTCAGAAGTTCTGCACCAAAACATGGCGGCAGCATCCTGCCCCTGTCCCCAGACAGGATTCAGCAGGACCTGAAATGCTGAACCTTGTCACCATGAACCGTGTTCCCACTAAACCAGAGAAATTCCCATTAAGATGGAAATGTTTTCATATGAGGAGAGAAGAAAGGGAATCCTTCCCCGTGAAAAGGAAAAGAATAAAGGGGAAAAGAATGTCAATACGTTATATCCTTTAATAAATGAAGAAGGTGGACATGAGCGGACTGAACCTTTACATTCTGGAATAGTCTTTCTAGGAAGCCCCTCTTCAAGCCTGAGGAAATTGGATTTGAGATGTAAATTATTATATTGTTTTCATTTACTTGTTTTTGAGAGAGAGAGAAAGTGCAAGTGAGGGAGGGGCAGGAAGAGAGGGAAAGAGAGAGAATCCCAAGTAGGCTCCACACTGTCAGCATAGAGCCGGAGGTGGGGCTCACAGCCATGAGCCTCAAGATCATGCCCTAAGCTGAAGCTTAACTGACTGAGTCACCCAGGGCCCCTGAGATGTAAATTATTAAAGCCACTGCACACAAGCAAATGGAGCCCTTTAACCTAGGAGGAAATAAAAGCTGAATCGAATTTGGTTTGGAAATGGGTGTGGGGGACCACAGTCAGGGGACATTCAAAGTCAACATCACAAACAATCCCATGTTTGCCCTGCTGCTAGCTCAGTGCCACTGTCAGAGCCAAACAATGTTGGGACTGGGACCATGGGTCCAACCCCAGGAGAACCTGTCCATCATTACACTTTTACATTTTGGGGTTTTTATATCTTTATGGTTTTACAAGTCCAGCTAAAGTTGACATCTCTTAAGCCTTTCCAGTGATCTTGAAGGGTTGTCTTTGGAAAGTAGCTACTATCCATTTTGAAACTAAGGCATTTACCCACTCATTCATTCATTCATTCATTCTTTGAGAGCTTGTTGAGTCCCAGGCCTCCAGGTGCATGTATATTTCCTGTCTGTTGCTTATGATTTTCTTCCAAATATAGGACCTGACCTCCCAGGCTAATTCTCCCCACTGCTTCCTTCATGTACAAAAGTAGCTAGGCCCTTCTTTCTGAAACTCTGTTTCCCTTGAAATGCTGTGTCTCCAATGCCCTGCTCCATGACCAAGTATAAACTCTTCCCAAGGCATGTCTCCAGACATTCTCTTCCGAGAAGCTGGTGCCAAAGGGAATTACAAGTGCAGGGATTTTATTAGGTGAAATACTTATGAAAGAAATCGGGTAGGAAGCTGGGAGAGGTGGGGAGAGCCCACAGATCATGAGGCAGGTATGACCCCAAGCGAAGGAGAAAGGGCAGGAAGGTTGTGTGAAAGTCTCTGGAAGGATCCGTGAAATGGTGAGGAAATCCTCAAGCCAAATTCGGCTGTTAGGGGAATCTTGTGGCTCCCAGTGACAGACCTGCCTCAGTGCCCCTACCATACTGTGCCTTTGGCTGGGTACTGCTGGTAAGAAGCACGGCCTCAGTGCAAGCACACTGGGGGGGACCACGGAGAGCACAGTGGGTGTCAGTCAGTATGCCCTCTTGGTCGGAAGTCTGAGAGGCAAGTTCTCATGGTCCCTTCAGATGTTCATCAACATGGGGTGACAAGGTTTCTCCTATGCTTTCATCCTCTTCAGTGACTTTGATAGGAAATCAAGAGTTCTGTGTGTGTGTGTGTGTGTGTGTGTGTGTGCATTAGAAGGAGCCTGCTCCCACAGCCACAACGGCATCTCAGAAGCCCCATGCACACTGCAGACGCTCACCCCTCTCTTGCTCCCTTTCAGACCATCCTGGTGGGTGACAGCGGTGTGGGGAAGACATCTCTGCTGGTTCAGTTCGACCAGGGCAAGTTCATCCCTGGCTCCTTCTCGGCCACCGTGGGCATCGGATTCACAGTAAGCCCTCCCAGACTCTGGGGCCCCGGTGTGTATCTGTGAGGGTCCCAGCAGGAAGCAGGTGGACACTCACATTGGATCATTCAGGGAGGTTTAACAAGAAGACTACTTACCAAGGTGGAAGCAGGGTGTTGGGGAACCAGGAGGTATGGTGCAGTGGCCGTGCATACACAGGGCCTCCACTCCAACCCTAGCCTAAAAAAATGAGGGGAGGGAACCAAAGCCAGAGCTCAGGGACACAAGGCTTCATGGAGAGAGCTGGCCGACAGGACCTGTGACCCTCAGTGGAGGAACACGGCAACTCACGGTAACCCTCCTGGAGCTAGCCCAGGATACAAGTCAGCTCCCCCCCTACCCTGCTCTCCTCCTGTTCCCACATCTCCTGGGGCTCCCCTTTGGCTGAACACAACTGGAAACTAGAAAGAATGCCTCCTTTTTTAAGTTTATTTATTTATTTTGAGAGGGGTGGGGAGAGAGAATCCCACGCAGGCTCCGCACAGTCAGCATGGAGGCCAACGCGGGGCTCGGACTCACGAACTGTGAGATCATGACCTGAGCTAAAATCAAGAGTCAGATGCTTAACCGACTCAGCCACCCAGGCACCCCTAGAAAGGATATCTTGATATAGATTGCTCAGGTCTACTTTCTAGGGCAATAAGAATATGGAGAGGCAAAGGGACAGCTTAAAATTTTAAGCACAGTCCAAATTTAACACTGTCACATGGGTACTAGGGAGCTGGCAGGCCAAGGGTCAAAGTTCTGTTTTTAGCACTCTGTCTCTTCCTGGATCTCCTCGGGATCAGGATAGAGCAGGGCACAGGGCCTGTAGGACCACACTCGGGACTGGGATGGTCACACTGGCGGGAAGAGAGAAGGAGAACCCCAGAAACTAGGCTTTCTGGTTGGGTCACAGCAAGGAAGGCGAGGACTCATGGTGGCTGGGATTCAGAGTAAAAAAGAAATGAGAGCCTGGCCAGAGAGTGCAGGTTTCTCCCATAAGCAGGCTCCAGAGTGCTGGGAAGGGCAGGGCTGAGTCCCAGGAGAGCAAGGCTTCCCAGACAATTCCTGAAGCCTTGGACCAGGCTGCCACGCCAGGCATCCCCCACCTCAGGCCCATGCCCAGTCTGCCCCTCCGCACACAAGGTCAGGGGGAGCCCTCACAGCCCCCAGCCTTCTCCCCCACTCCGTGCCCATCTGCCTGTCAGACTCAGAGGGTGCACAGTGGGATGAATGTTGGTGTGGATGCGGACCTAAAGACTGTGACTAACACCCCACAGATGCAGAGGGGTGGGACCTCCAAATTTTGCCACTAGCCTGGTAAGAAAAGCAAGACGACTGGCCCATCAGAAGGAAGAAGGTGTGTAATCACACTGAGAGCCCAAAGCAGGAGGAGACAGGACAGATCTGGCTCTCCCAAACCTACCACAGGACAAAGGAGGATCTTGGTTGAGCCAACAACACAAACCACAGCTGGAAGTTAGAAGCCCTCTGAAGGCTCTGGGGGGCGGGAGGCGGGGGTCTCCTTCTTTGCTTCCTCCAGCTTCTGGTGGCTCCTGGCGATGCTTGCCATTTGTTGGCTTGTAAATACACCACTCGGATCTCTGCGTCTGTGTTCACATGGCCGGCTTCTCCCTGCATGTCCGCTCCTATTCCTATAAGGACATCAGTCATATTGGATTAAGGGCTTACCCTATTCCTGTATGACTTCACCTTAACTAATCATACTTGCAACAACCCCCTTTCCAAATAAGGTCACATTCTGAGGGACTAGGGGCTGGGATCTCAATAGAGTCTTTTGGTTTGCAGTGGAAGGTGAGCAAGGGCCATGTCACTCACTTCCTTTCTCTCATTTCTCCTCGGCCATTACCCTCTGGCTCTGAAAACGTTTGCCCCTGCAGGGTTCTCGTGAGCCCTCAGGAGCTTAGAGCCTGAGACACTGAATGGACTGGGGTTGTATTTGCAGCAAGAGACTCTTGCCTCTGAATAGCAGGCAATAAATGCACACCTGCAGAGTTCTGATCCCGTAGGTGGCTCTCTGAGCCCCACCCTATGTACACAAGAGGTTATGGCAAGCCGAGCTCCAGAAAATAGCTCTGGCCAATGCCAAGACTCACAGGGCTAGAGGAATGTGTACACACAGTCCCCACCAGGCCTATAGTCACCCATAAGCCACATCTGCCCCTTGCGCTTTACCCCCAGCACCTAAGTCAAGAGGTACTGATGCCCTTCTCCCCCGACACAGCCTTCGGTCAGTCCCGCTGTAATGCAGCTACCCAGTTCCATGGTAAGCTGTGGGTGCTTGTGCAGAATGTTGGCACAGGAGTAATTAAATGGTTAGCCCCTGAAGCACAGGGCAGGGCCGCCCAGGCCACACTCCCACTGTCTGCCACCAGGAACTGCAGGATTCCTGGGTTGTCCTTGAGACTGCTCAAAATGATCCACGACTCCATGAATTCATTTACTACTAAATATTTAAGGCCTGCTCAGGGACAGGGGCTGAGGAGCACAGGTGAATAGGGCCAGCCCTGCCTTCAGGGGCGCCGAGATTGGGAGGTTTGGGGTCGGGGGAGGCTTTCCCATGCTGGAACATTCGGGGCACAGCCCAACAGGTCAGGGAGAAATGAGAGGTGATCTGTGCTAAAGGGTCAAAACCCTAGCACCCACCAGGGGCCGCGAAAAGCCACAGTTGTAAATGTGCTGCAAGGTGAATTCTGGTGGGTATATAAAATTACATTCAGAGGAGCTCGGGCTGGGGTGCATTAGCAAAAGCAAAACTGCCTGAGCGCTGTGCTCAGAATGCACGCCTCCTCTCAAAAATCGTGCCTCGCTGCCCCGGGGCCTTCCCAGCCCACAACCTCACCCCCACCCCAACCGCGACCAGGGGACGCCCGTCGGCCGCCAGCTGGCCGGGGCTCGGGCGCCCCCTGCAGGCCGCGCTGTGCAGCGGCAGCGGGAACCCGGGCGCGGAACCCCGGGTCGCAGCGCTGCCAGACCTAGCGCTACAGGCTAGGTTTCCGGAGACGGCTCCCTGTGGGAACCTAGCCCGGGCAGCCTGCGACCTTTGGGGACCGGTCCTCGGGCTGGATTCGTTCCACGTCTTCGGAGCACGAAGCCGGCCCAATTTGCTCGGGGCACGCCTGCCCCTCTGGCGCTGACCTGTGGTTGTTGCCGCCCTCGCGAGACAGCCTGCACCAGGCAGGTATCTTCGGGGTGGCGAGACATAGGAAGGAGACTGTGGGGTCCGGGCTGGGGCGGTGGAGGGGGGAAGGATTGGGTGGAGCCTAAGGCGGGGAGGTCCCAGCACTGTCCCCCGCCCGCCACCAGTCCTAGCTCACCTCTCGTCCAGGGGACGTGACGGGCATGTCTGGCGCCGCTGCCACCCGGGATGGAGAGGCGCCCGAGCACTCCCCGCCCTGCAGTCCGAGCTACGATGTCACGGGCAAGGTGGGTGGGCACTGTGCCCAGTACTGGGGACTCCCCAACCGGCTCTGAGGGCCAGCCCTTCCCACGCCCTTTGCCCTGAGACCCTGGCCCAAGCCTCTTGGCTGGCTGCGTCTGCGTTGCCTTCAGCCCTTCCCCCAGGGAGCCGGGTCTCCCGGAGCAGGGAGGAAGGGTGGAGACTGCCGACGTCTGGGCTGGCTCAGCGAGGGTGGGAAGAGGAAGGTCGGAAGGAGCGATTGACTGCCCACACAGCGGACCCCAACCCAATTTCCTTCTGCACACCCCGGGCGATATGATCTCCCGGGAACCCCATGCCTCTGCGTAAAGGTTAAGCGCTCAACCCTCCTGGGCACAGGCATCCCGAATGGTGGGAAATAGGGATGCCTGGAGACGCAGAGAGGACGCCCCCTGGCGGCGGAGCAGTTGTCGTTAACGCCCTTTTCCCAGCTAAGCTCTCCCCTGAGACTTAACATCCAGTTTCAAGGCCTTAGGCCTGAAGTTCTTTAGGTCCCCAGCTGCCCCCAAGGCGTACCCCTTCCCTTTCCACTGCTGCAGCCATTTCCTCCCGCCTTCCTCCAGGAGGATGTTGCTAACCAAAATGCAGGCCCACCTGGGAATTTTTAGAACCTGAGAAAGATTTTGTTGGTTCATCACAAGTCCCCCATGGAGGAGCTGAAGTCAGCTCTCTGAGGCCGGTTTCCTCTAGAGGGCTGCCCTGTTACAGAAGCAGGTGAAGGTGGAGGACAGACACCTCCCCACCCCACCCACCCCACCCTGGGGCGCATGGCGGAGGCGGGTACCCAGAACTCTGAAAGAGGCGCTGAGGGAGCCCAGGGCTTCCAATCTTCCTCTGCAAGTTTGGGGATGAGCGAGGGCTGCCCTGCCTCATGCTGCGTGGCCTTGAAAGAGACCTGCCTCTTTCTGTGCCTCGGTTTCCTCCCCCACCCC